AATGCACAGATAAGTGTCCGTATGATTTTAGAGGATATTACAAGGAGGATGACCTTTTACACATACAAGTCCTTGGTTTGTGTCTCGGAGTTCTGGCGTTCTTTATGGTCTTTAGTGACTTCTGAAAGAAAGATAGTCTTGCTATTCTAATTCTTCATGTTCGATCTAAAGATTAAAATTAATCAAGTAATTAATATATATATATATATATATATATTCGTTTAGTAATTACACTCTGTAAACGAAGACCGTTTCAATATATATGCATGGATTGAAGATTGTGGGTGTATTTTAATTTTAATTGTGTATAATTGATTATGAAAAAATTTGATTAATATGATTGATTTTGAATATAATTGATTATGTTATGAGGTATATAATTAATTTATAAAATTGATTAATAATATTGATTTTAATTAGATTTGAAAAGTGAAATTCAAAAGCATAGAATTAAAAATAAAGTGAAACCATAGTTTTGTGAAAATATATCATGTTACATACTAAAATCAATTATGAATATAAAATTATGTTTTCCAAAAATATCCAAACACCAATTACACATGTCAAAATCAATTATAAATTTAAAATTATAGTTTTTTAAAAATATCCAAACACCTTATACATGTCAAAATCAATTATAAACTCAAAATTATTATTATCTCATAAGCTATTATTACTTATTTTTTTAATTCATATTTTCAATCATACTTTTTGTCCTGATGACCTTTTCAATTGAATTAGTGTCCACAAATGTCAATTCAATTCTAAATATCAACTCACACGGGTCTTCGTTGTGATCCCATATGCATCTCACAATCAATTCAGCGTGCTAATTAAGCTTTATTCCAACTGACTTGTTCTTGTTCATTATTTTCTAAGTCCACTTTTCAAAGGTTGCATAATGATCCCAACTTGTTGACTACGCCAGGAAGTTCATAGGGAAAATGTTAAGGAAGTTAAGCAAATTAAATAAAGATACTGCAAAGAGGGAGCTTATAATTAGATTAATATTTAAGTAATGTTACTAATGATCTTGAAACAAACATATATTTTAGGGAGAATAACAATTAAGGACCATCTTAATTTTAGGTAGAATAACAATTGTGTAGCATTTGGATGGATGGATTTGGATTTAAATTTTAAATTTTGAATCTTGTATTTCAAATCTCATGTATTTAAAATCCTTTATTAGGGTAGTCTAAAAAAAATTTCAAGTAAAGAAGATAAATGAGTTAAGATTCAAAAAATGAAAATGAAAAATTAGAATTAAAGAGATGAGTTTACCTATATTTTTCAATCGATTTGAGATGAGAAATTATATGAGAGTCATAGATATTTTAATAGTAAAAATATAAAGAGAACAAGCGGTTTCAAGTGGCTAGAATTTCAAATGACTAAATTATAGAAATAATTTAAAATTATAAAAGAAATATAATAAGAGATAGATTTTGATTTGAATCAAATCTAAATTTATAAATTTGTATATCCAAATAAGAGATTAATCCAAATTCAAATCTAAGTCTCTGTTAATTCAAACACACCATTAGGGAGAATAACAATTAAGCAAATTAAACAAATATTTTTTTTTAGATTTTCAATGCTAAAACATATTACTTCTAGAAAAATGTAAATTAGTGAGAAAATTTGGTGAAAGATTGTCTATTACTCTCTAAAATACTAAATTAGCAAGGAAATTGGTAGGGGATATTGATTTCATAGCTCGACTTAAAATTAATGAGGAAAATAGTAATGAACTTTTAATCATTATCTAAAATAAGAGAACTAGCGAAGAAAATAGTGATGGACTGTCAATCCCTATCTAAAATAAGATAATTAATGAAAAAAATAGTGAGATATTGTCAATCCATCTCTAAAATAAGATAATTAGTGAGAGATTTTGTAATGAATTCTATCCCTAGCTAATTTCTGCAAAAAAATTTAACTTTTAACAATGACTTTTAATTATATATTTAATTATTTTCATTTAAAAGTAAAAGTTAAATTTAAAAATTAATTAAAAATTAAAAATTATTTTATATTTAATATTTTTTTATTTCGGGCCCATATTTAGGGCTAAAATTACAATCAAACACATTTAATAGACCTCTCTAACCACACACTATATTAATTTATTTAATTACTCTTTTACTTAACTGAATCTTGATTAGTTTTTCCAAGATGTTACACCCTTAATTACCTCAACTTGGGAGTTAATTAGAGATTAGTAAGAGGGATATTACATAAATTATTGATAAAGTAGCTGTAAATAATTAGTATTAAACTTTGTTAGTAACATATATCAATTTAACAGTTAGATATGTGAAGTTACAGTCATAAAATATTGAAGTAATAATTGTAAATCATTGATGAGATAATTGTAAATAATTAGTGTGTTAAACTTTGTTGGTATTGCATGATCGATTTAACTATTAGATATAAAAAGTTATAATTATAAAATGTTGAAGTGATAGTTGTAAATTATTAATAAGATAGTTGCATGCAATTATATTAAAATTATAACGCTAATCAATTTAACTATTAAATATATGAAGTTATAATTATAAAAAATTAAAATGATAGTTGTAAATTACTAATTAATTAGCTATAAATTATTTGATTGATGTAATTTATTTCTAATAGAAGCATTATTATTTTTATATCTTAATTTTAAATTACACTCAAGTTTCAAGGAACGAAATTGTGGTTTTTAAATTTTACAAAATTTATTTATAAATTAGTCTACTCCACATGACAAATACATAACTTTCCCTTTTGTCTTGGCAAAGTGAGCATGGATTTAAAATGAGTATGGACAATGAAATAATACCTTAAACTGGTGCCTTTTAAACTATATAATAACACCTTATCGTTTGATAAACCAACTATAATTTAATAATTAATAATTAATAGTCATTTAAAATAATTTTTTTATAAAGAGTACAACCTTTTTAATATGTAAAGTTTTCTTAAAATAATACTTCGTTTTACCAAATAGAGGTTACTACACTTTTTAGTTCGGCAATCTTTAAAAAAGGCTTTTCAGAATTAGAGAGACATAAACATTTGTGACTTTTAACACTATAACTCTACAAAACTTATAGAAAAAATCTTTAATTTATAAGGATATGATAATTTTTTAAAAAAAAATATTTATTTAAAAATATTCCAATATAAAATGCAAATAGCCTACACATAATCTCTTGCAAACGTTTGTCAGCGGCTTAAGGGTCTGAAGTATGCACAACCAGAATAAATTGTCGGCATGCATAGTATCGTGTGCGCGTGCGCGTGCGCGTGATGGGCGGGCGTTCGCGCATGGATTTTATATATTTTTCTTTTTATTGAACTTGAAATGACAATATTTTAAGTTTAAGAATAAAAATAAAATCGCCTGTCATATTTGAGCTTCAGTAACCCTGTTTTGTTGGTTTTATTTGAGCTTTTTATTTAAATATCATTCTTTTTAGGATTATGTATGAATAATTTTGTATATTTTTTTATTAAACTAATTATTTTAATTACAATTGGATTGATCCCAATTCAACCATGGTTTAGACCACTTATCTTTGAATTATTATCTCAACTTGTTCAATGATCAATCCAGATTTTAGTGTATTAATTGTCAAATGTTTATAAGAAAAAGGGAGATGTAGTACTCCAAAAAAAAAAGCCAACAAGATACTAATAAAAATAGACATCAATAATGATTTTAAAATTGAACCGGACCAAATGGTCAATATATGAAAACCATTTTGAAGGTTAAGTCAGGTTGAACCGTTTTGAACTAGCAGTCGGATCGGAAACTAGAATCAAACTGAAAATCGGATCTGATTTTCAAGAATTGGACTGTTTAAATTTTTTTATTTTTTATTAAATTTTTTTAAGGAAATGACCAATTTTTTAAATCATTTGATATTATATTATATTATGTGACTTGTCAAGTCATGATAAACTTAAAATATTTAATTTTCTTTAAGTTAAGTAACAATTTCATATTTATTTTCTATATTTAAATTATTATATACATATATACTTTTTTAATTTAATTATTACATCACCAATTTAATTTAACGATTGAATTAGGAGGAAGGAGTAAGAATATATAGAGATGGCTGTAGAAAGGGTTATTGGATATTTGGATGTAGAGAAAAGATTTTATTTTTGATAGAATTATTATTTTACAAGGTTGACAGTTTCAAGATTAGTAAAAACTAAAAAGTAAAAACTAGACTTCACTTGTAATGCTTTCAGTATAACTCCACCACTAGCTTGCTCGTCTCTTGAGAAGTGATAATATTTAAAATCAATGTTTGTTAATTAAGAGATAACATAATTATTTCGACACCTGAGAAGTGATAATAACTAGTTTTGAATATACAGTGCTCATCATTGAATAATTCAAATTCAAATGTCATACTTACAAGTTATAAATAGTACATCTCATTCTTCATATTTTATAAGTAATTATATTACATTGTATGTGCAGAATAAGCTAAGATATAAAATTATTCTCACATGCATTAATTATGTGATACTTAATAAGGGTCATTTTAGGAAAAAAAATTAATTGGAGAGAAATTTGATAATTCAATCATTTTGACTATTTGTTAAAATCTAGTTATTTGTGATCTATAATTACCCGAGTAACTATGCCCCTGCACCTGCAGTTCAAATTCAAACCTTAGAGCCTGATAAGTACAAGATCCAAAAAAGAATAAATAATGCTAGTCATTTTGCACTATCGTCTGTTAAGCTTTTTATATATATTTTTTATTATTCTCGAATTGGATTCAACATAAAAGCTCTAAGTCATTTCCTTTTGTTCATTAGAAAGAAACCTTCCCGTATATATGTGTCATCGATAATTAATTAAAAAGAGACAAAAGAAGACCTTCCCTATTTATTTACAAACACATACTCATTGGGGATACAGTAATGCATGCATGCAGAAAATCGAGCTACACATGAGCCTTTTCGGATACATATTGGGACCAGAAAAAATCCATTTGCAGATCATATCATAATGCAACATTGTTTGAATAATATTATATGCCCAAACTCAAATTAAAGTACATTTGAAATATGCTCAAGAGTCCATCCACACAATTGTAAATAGGTCACAAGCTTCAAATCAACTTGACAAAGTAAAGACTAGTCAGATTTCACTGGTAACACCTTGATTATCTTCAATTAGCCCACTTAGTCATCTCTTGCAAAGTTCGTTCAGAAAGACAACAAGAACCTGCATAATATACAAATTGAAAATAATTGCAAGAGCACTACTGCAACTCGAAAATATATTATATGTATGTATAGAATATATAAACCATGCCATGTCTATTACGTGCCAAAATTAATTATTTATTATGTAAATATTTGTGATCAAAATAGAAAATGCAAACTAATATTATACGAATTAGCAAATGTACTAAGATTTCAGAATAAAAAAAAACATTCAAACACAAGTTATGAGGAGTTTGTTTCACTAATTACCTTAATTTGTCCGAGGTTTTCAATTGAAACGATTCAACGTGATGGCCATCATGACATAAAGTTTGTCTCTGATGCCATACAAGAATCTGAAGTAAGAATGTCTGACACTTTTATTGAAAAAAATGGCACCACATACTATCCAAAAGGCAAGAGCAAATCCAACTCCTGACCCAATGTAGAAGGAAGTCAAAAATTCATCTTCTTCACTGCCATTTTTTTCAGTGGGTTTCAAATCTTCATTGTCTGTGCAATTGTTCGGAAGCGGAGCTCCACACAGATTCGGATTCCCAATATAGCTTTGGACATCAAACCCTCGAAGTTGAGTTCCTGATGGGATTTTTCCGATGAAATTGTTGAAGGAGAGGTTCAAGGTTCCCAAAAAAGACAATTCACCCATACTGGAAGGAATTTCACCTGAAAGTTGATTTCTTGAGAGATCAAGAGCCTCCAGGTTTTTCATGTTGCCGATCTCTTTTGATATGTTTCCATCAAATTCATTGTGGGACAAGTTCAAATGTTGCACTTTAATGAGGGTAAATATTTCTGGAGGTATTGTTCCAAACATTACATTACTTGATAGATCAATAAAACGGAGCAAATGCATGCTTTCCCCATAGCTTAATTCTTGGCCTTTTGCATGCAACATAAGATTGTCACCACCCATTATGTAAGTCATATAAGGAGTTCTAATGCAAAAGATGGCAAGCTGATCATGTGAAGGGGGATCCATTGTCATGGCTTTCAGATTAAATAGGCAAATAGGTATTGAACCTGAGATTTTGTTATCCGCCAAATCTAATATTATGAGGGAGGTCAATTGGCATATTTCCAATGGGATATTTCCACTAAATTGATTGGATCTTAATTGCAGAACTTTTGTATTGTACCCTATCCAATTTGGTATGTTTCCTGAAAGGTTATTTCCTCCCACATCGAAGATTTGTAGGTTGTGGCAATTTTCCAGTGACAAAGGTATCTGCCCAAACAAGTTATTATTATTGAGATGCAAAGACTTTAGATCAGACAAGAAACCCATTGATGGAGGGATTGTGCCTGCTAGACTATTGTTGCCTAGCTTAAAAACAACCAATGATTTCCAGTTCAACCAACAATTTGTAAGTCCTCCAGACAAAAGATTATTTGACATGTCCAAAAACTTTAACTGGGTTCTTCCATTCATTTTCTTGCACAATAATGGAGAAATAGATCCTTGTAGAGAGTTGTAGCCCACATTGAATACAACAACATTTGGTGATAATTGAGGGACCCCACCTTTTAAGTTATTTGAAATCAAATTTATGATTGTAGAGTTTAGCAACACATTGGATATGTCCCCATTAATAATAATGTTATCTTGCAAATGTAAGTAGGGGATAGGAGCTATAAAGTGCCAAAAGTTGTCTTGAAAATCAAATGAAAATTTTGATCTGGTAATTATAAATCTCTCAAGAGAAGTTTGCGTGTATATCCATAGAGGGAGTTTAGGGACTACCATGTGAACCAAATATATAGTTCGAAGCTGAAAAGGAGGAATCCACATAGAATTGAAGTCAAAGCTTAAATCTAGTGCTCCTATTGAGAGGAATTTTAGATTTGAGAGCTTGACAAAATTTCTTTCAGACACATTCCCCATCAGGTGATTATCAGCCAAATGCAACACCTTCAACGATGACAGATTTCCTAAAGTTAAAGGAATAGGACCAGAAAATAAATTTCCAAATACAGAAAGAGATTGTAGATGTTCGAACTGGCCTAACCAATCAGGAATTGGTCCAATCATTTCATTGTTTTCCAAATACAATTCTTCTAGTTTTCGAAGTTTTAATAACTTCTTTGGAAGTTGGCTTTGAAAATGATTAGACCTGAGGTCGATAGTAGTGACATCACTAAGATTGAACAACCAACCAGGAAAGAAATCAGAGGTGAGACCATTCTGAGAAAGTGTAACAACTTCAATTGAAGTAAAGTTTACATACTTGAGAGATGGATTGATGTCTCTAAGCTGACAATCATCCAAGTGTAACTCTGTAAGAGAAACAAGCAAAGTTGATATTTGAACCCAGGCATCTGTCCCTCGAAGATTAATGAAACTGAGGTCAAGATATTTCAAGGAGGGAACATGAGAGAGCCAATTAAGACTATCGATGTGAAGATCCTCATTGGCCGATAAATCAAGATGATGAAGACTGGAGAAGTTTTGACATGGATGAGGAGGTTGGACTGTAGATTGGTTATTGCTATTTGAGATAACAACATAATCATTTTGGACAATATCTTTAAAGTCATGATAGGACAAGTCCAAGTAAATTAGACACTCAAGTTGAAGCAAAGAAATTAGGTCGAGTTCACCGGTGAGATAGCCTGGTGTGTTCTCATATGCACAAATATGAGCTGAGACTTCTGTAGAATAAGGAAGACTGAGCTCAATGACTCTGCCAGTGGTATTGTCACACATGACTCCAGTCCATTCACAACAATCTCGCTCATCAGACCAACTAGAGAGGATGGATGATGGATCAACCAAAGTGTGTTTGAAGTTTAAGAGAAGGTGATGGTCTTTTTCATTACAGTGCAATCTTATACTGCACGTGCATTTGGGGAGCATGATTTCAAATATGAGGAAGCATAGCAGCAAAACATTAGCAACGGAGGAGGGCAATGAGGTATCCATGGTCACTTATGGGATGCTTCAGGGTGGGAAGGGATTGCCCGAGTGATAAATATTTATAAAAAAAACAATGTTTATCTTCACACAAGTGACAAAGAAGGACCAAGACTCTCTCTTAGTGGGCCCCGCCCCTATCATGTGAGGGCGGGGAGGGAGGATGTGCCAAGAGAAAGTCTTCCTCAATAAAGAATTAGCAAATCACTAATTGCACCGACCAGAACAATTTAACTTGGCCAGCCAAATATGCTTTTCTCAACCTTTTTTTTTTTTTATTGGGGAGGGTTTAACGGCAAAGTACTCCCTCCAATCTTATATATATACATATATAAAAGTTAATGTGTCTCAAAATATAAGAAACTCTACTCTTTTGATTTCTCTAGTTCATTGAAAAGGTTGAATAACAGCTTGTCACCACAGTGATTGCCCGACTCCCTACTATTTTTATATTTCTTATTAATAATTCGATTTCTCTATTTGTTCGAAAAAATTCTATTTCTTTATTTTTCAAATTAACAATTTATATATATTTTAGCTTACTAATTTCATGGTTTTAAATTTTTCATAACGATTGAAGGTAAAAAAAAAATTTCATAAAGATAAATATTATAATTCTCATAGATTATCAAAACTGAAGATAAACAAAAAGCTAAAAATTTTGAGTCACATATGGGGTAATATCAAGAGTTAGGCTCTTAAAAATGGACTTGACTTGTCTCCATCACCCTTCCTCTGCATTTCCTCTCCATCACCCTAAAATAAAATCTAGACTGTTAAGATTTGGTACAGATTAAATATGAATGGTTCAGATTTAAAATTTTTATTTTTATTTTTATTTTTATTTTATACTTATAATTTTTGGATTCTTCAAATTAAATTGGAATTGTTTTGATTGGTGATAAAATAAATTCATTAAAAATTTTAATTTTTATTATAAGTATAAAATATAAATATAAATATAAAATAAAAACATTAATTCTGAACTGTTAAATTTAATCCACGCCAATTCTTGATGGCTTAGATTTTATTTTAAAGCAGTAGGGAGGAAATGGAGAGAAAGAATAACGGAGATAAGTCAAATCCCTTAAAAATATCCCGTAACCCCTTGCTCTCGAGTGGTCCTAATTATTTGATTTGACAGTTCAAGTCAATTTACTTTGTCGTCTATAAACCAATTCCACTTTAAAAGCATATCCACATATTTTATTTACCGTGCACGGAAATGATACTTGAATTTAAGTTTTTGGTAAAATAATAATAAAATTTCTTAAATTATATATATATATATATATATAATAATAATTTAGTTCCTTAAAAAATTATAATTTAATTAAAGTTTTTAAAGACTGCTGTATCAATAAATTTTAAAATAAAAAATTTTTTTACCTTTATTAAAAACAACAAACCCTAATTATAATTTTTATTTAAAAAATAACAATTTTAATTTTGTAAATAGTAAGAGTTGAATAATAAATTATAAATTATTAAGTATAAATTTTGGCTCAACAAGTTCATCTATTGGATTGTTGTACTGGAATAAATGTTATTGTGTACAGGTTCAATTTTTAACCACGGTAGACCTTTGTTATTAGATTTTTACTTTTTAACCATGGTATTCTTTGTATTAGTCAAATTTGTTCTACTACGATAGTCTTTCTGTCGAGTTTGTTCCTTTTAATTTCTACCATATACAGTAAAGTTGTTGTGATTTTCAAACTGTAATTACGTTGTAAAAGGAAATTTTGTTATTCTTTAACCATATTAAACTTTCAATTATTTAGTTTGTATCTTTTTTTTTACTATGGTTAATTACCATTATTCATGTAAATGGGTTCAGCTTTTTTAATTATCATCATAATCCTTCTGTGTTTTAATTCTTTATTGCCAATACACGGATAAGTGTCCGTATGATTTTAGAGGATATTACAAGGAGGATGACCCTTCACACATAGAAGTCTTTGGTTTGTGTTCGGAGTTCTGGCGTTCTTTATTGCCTTTAGTGACTTTTGAAAGAAAGATATTAAGATAGTCTTGCTATTATAATTCTTCATGTTTGATCTAAAGATTAAAATTAATCAAGTAATCAATATATATATATATATATATATATGTTTAGTAATTATAATCTATAAACGAAGACCATTTTAATATATATGTGCATGGATTGGAGATTGTGGGTGTATTTTAATTTCAATTGTGTATAATTGATTGTGAAAAAATTTGATTAATATGATTGATTTTGAATATAATTGATTATGTTATGAGGTATATAATTGATTTATAAAATTAATTAATAAAATTGATTTTAATTAGATTTGAAAAGTGAAATTCAAAAGCAAAATTGAAAATCAAGTAAAACCAAAGTTTTGTAAAATTGATTAACAACAATGTTGCTTCACATGTAATCTTGGTAATATCCCTATCAAGATAGCTGAGATCAAAGCTATTCAATTTAGAGTTGAGACTTGCAGAAACATGAAAATCGAAAAAACTCATATTTTTTCATATTCACTTGATGCCCTCAACTTTGTCTATGGAGGAGCTCCAAGTTCTCACCCTTTCTAGGATGAGGTAAGATCTATACAAGATTTGATCATCACCTAACAAGATTACAAGATCCTTTATACCCCTCGTGAAGCTACTTTCTATGCTAACTTTCTTGCCAAGCAAGGCCATCATCGTCCTTGTAGATTGATCCAATTGTTTGAAGCCCCAAGAGAATGTGAAACCTATCTTTTAGCTGGCAAAAGTGAGATTATGCCCACAGCTTGCAATCTCCTCTAGTTTTAGCACTAGCCTTATCAATAAAAAAAAAAAAAAACATGATTTTGGGTTGAAAATTGATTTGGCATGCATAATAGGTATTTGGATATTTTTAGAAAAACATGATTTTAGAAACATAATTGATTTTAACATGTAATAGAAGTGTTTGAATATATTTTCACAAAACAATGATTTTGACCTCAAATTGTTTAAAGAGATTATCTAAACAAACATTGTATATTCAAACAAGTCCGACTTAAATCCATAACTAAGTCATCAAAGAACATTTTAGTAAATGCTTTTCCTTTCAATGGCAAATTAATTAATTTCAATTTAAATGAACAAAATATTTGTTCCTTTAATTTTCTGGCCTTATAAAATGGGGCATATATATACTCAATGTTCTCGCAAAGGATCAATGGGTTTATTCTCTTCTTATATTTTCTTTGGTCATTGTTTTCCGCAAAATAATTCTTTGCTGGATGGTTGATTTCAAATTTAAATAGACAATAAATTTGTTTTTTCCGCAGGAATTCCATATATTGAAAAGTCTCTCAAAGATAAACAAATAGGAATGCAAGGACCATCATATTCAAGTTTTATATTTTTGTCCCGATGACCTTTCCACTAGAATTAGTGTCCACAAATGTCAATTCTAAACATAAATTTATATGGGTCTTCGTCGTGATCCCATATGGATCTCACGTTCAATTTAGAAATTAAGGTGGCTCCATATGTTGTCAACTTCGTCTATAATGAATCCATCTCACATTCAATTTAGCGTGCTAATTAAGCTTTATTCCAACTGACTTTTTCTTGTTCATTATTTTCTAAGTCCACTGTTCAAAGGTTGCATAGGGATCCCACCTTGTCGCCTACGCCAGGAAGTTCATAGGGAAAATGTTAAGGAAATAAAGCAAATTAAATAAAGATGCTGTGAAGTGGGAACTTATAAGATTAATATTTAAGTAACATTACTAATGATCTTGAAACAAACATATATTTTAGGGAGAATAATAATTAAGTAGCATTTGGATGGGTGGATTTGGATTTAAATTTTAAATTTTAAATCTTATATTTCAAATCTTATGTTTCGAGTTCATATACTTAAGATCCTTTGTTAGGGTTATCTAAAAAAATTCAAATAAAGAAAGAAATGAGTTGAGATTCAAAAAATGAAAATGAAAAATTAGAATTAAAGAGATGAGTTTGCCTATATTTTTCAATCGACTTGAGATAAGAAATATAGAAAAGTTATAAAGGTTTCAATAGTAAATATATGAAGAGAAGAAGTAATTTAAAGTGATTGAAATTTTAAATGACTAAACTATAGAAAGAGTTTGAAATTACAAAAGAAATGTAATAAAAGATGGATTTTAATTTGAATCAAATTCAAATTCATAAATTTTTGTTCATCCAGACAAAGGATTTGATCCAAATCAAAATCAAAATCTCCATTAATCCAAACACATCATTAGAGAGAATAACAACTAAAAAAATCAAGTTAGATTTTTTTTATTAAGATTTTCAATGCTAAAACATATAGGCATGAGCACTGGATTTGAAATCTAAAGTTATGATGAAATCTTTATTTGACATTAATTTTTTATGAAGTCTTTAGTTGCCATTCTCCCAATACCTTACTCTCACATCAAAATCATTTGTTTCATTACTTTCCACTTTCCATTGAACTGCTTGGCAGCTAGAGCTCAACAAGAGGGGAGGGAGGAGATCTCCCCTTGTTTGGTTAAACAACTTTTAATCCCCTCTCCTCCTATCTCTCTCTAATAGAAGTAGGGGTTCTTGGAATTTAGACTTTTAGTTGAAGCAAGTGGTAACAATATTACCCTTATAATAATGATAAATTCACAAAATTAAACGATCTCTTTTCTTTCCTTTCCTCCTCTTTTTAAAATTATCTCTTCTTTCTCTGACAAGCCAAATGCAATGTAAATGGTATTAAGTAAATTAAGGTAGAGATGCAATAATTAAGTGGTCATGTTGTAAACAATAAAAGAAAACAAGAGATTTGGGATGGAATTTTGTGACAGAATATAAAAAGTCACAAATGCATCTTAAATTTGTTCAAAATTCAATCCCAAATATTTGTCATGGATTTTAGGACACCAAATTTTGTCTCAAATTTTTGGGATACAATTTGGGATACCATTTGGTGTTTCAAATTATTGCCACTAAGTTTGGGACAACAAATGGTGTCCCAAATATGTGGGAC